GCCGAGGGAGGGAGCGTGCCGAGCCCCGTCTGCCCTCCCCTCTTTTTCCCTCGGAAGCTCGCTCCCTCCAGCCCCACGCTTTGCTCCAGCCCCACCTCCATTCTCTCCTTGCTTTTCCTTTCTCTCCCCTTCTCTCTCTCTCTCTGTACTCTGTTGGGAGGGAGAGGGCGGCCAGAGGCTAAAGTTAAGTCTGGGGACTGGAGCTCTATCCTCAGGACTGAGCTCAACTGCTAAAAAGATAAGAATAGGAGTTTTTGTTTGTTTGTTTTTTCTTGGGGGGGAGGGAGCTGGCAGCACCTTGAGTTCAAGTCTTAACTCCATGGGTTCTTTGTCCTTAGAGCGTCCACGAAGTTTGAAATCAGCCTGAAAGTTCTAAAAAAAAAAAAAAAAAAAAAGTTGCAAAAGAAAGTCATCATTATGGCAGAGAGCTTAGGAGCCATGAAGTAAGAAGAGGTGCCCACCACCACCTCAGCTGTTCTCTGTGTAGCTTGAAGTAAGAATGCAGCACATCCCAGAATACAGGGCAGCCAATTGAGAGAGATGCTAGGTTAGTGATCTTCAGAAAGTTCTAAACTTCCAGCAGATGGAGGGATAAGCCAGGGTCTCCAAGGATACTGAAAGACACCCCCACCAAAACAAAAGTTTCTACAAGATATACCTTCAGTTAACAAGGGAAAATCGATAAGAATGGGGCAGTTTATATGCCGAAAAGAGCAATCGGCTGTGATGCCTTTGTCCTTTGGAAAAGCACCTAGGGACTTCCTTATGCTACAAGGGACATCAGTCACTTTCCTCCTTGGAGCTGGTGGGCAGATTGCACAAGTTCCAATTTAGCAGTGCAAAGCATAAAAGATCCTACTTATTTTTCTTAACAAAACAAAACCTGTATTGAGTACACTAACGTTCAAAACTCATCAAATTGTACACTGAGGAAAAACTTCCTTGTGATTTAAATCCTAAAATATGGTTGTCCCCTTATCCAACATTGACAATCACTTACATACCCCTGCAAACAGGGAGCACTCCAAGGTATGGCTGTGCATGTTCCCTTTACTGAACTAACGTTGTTGAAGTTTCCTTCCATCTATCCATTGCTTTTGACTTTGGCATTCTTCAAACTTCATCTAACCTAACTTCCACATGGACTTTCCTCGGATATTTTGGAAATATCTGTCACATTCTCCCAGGGTGAACTTTTCCTACCAGTGAAAAATTCCTTTTTATTTAACCTGACAGTTCCAATTCTCCTCATGCATCATGCTAAGTTTATGTTCACAAAGTACGCTGCTCAGAACATGGCTCCATACTTAAAATACTCCAATGAAGCATGCAAGAAAAGGGTCTCTCTTGTCCAGAGAGTAAGCATTTGTTGACATAGCCTTGGACCAAGTTTATTTTCTGGCAGCCAAATCTGACCCTTGATGCAACAGATGGTTAAAGCTGACCAGATTTCTCAAGAAATCTGAGTGTGTACTGCTACTTAGTCACGTCTGCATGGCTCCACCTTTGTGTCGGGGTTGCTTTCCTGTGCCCTAATGTGTGCTTTGTTATTTAACATGAGGAAGTGCCACCTTGCCACAATCAGCCCATCACAATGTGTGGAGATAACTAGGGATCTTGGCATTGTCAAAATGTTCCCCTCTTTCAGTGTTCCTGTTGTACATGTTTTCAAGGAACTTGTCATGTTTATCGTCATCTCTTAATAAAGTTATGGGAAGAGAAAAGCTAAGGACAGGCTGGATTGTGACTCAAATAGAAATGGAGTGTCCTGATAATCGTGTCCCAGTGCAGTGATCCTCAACTTTCATTGCAGTTGGAATCACAAAGGGTGGTTGTAAAAACAGATGCTTGGGCATACCACCAGAATTTACGGAATTCTGCAGAAAGGCTTGGATGTCAGAATGCCTTTTATAGGCAACCCACAATGAGAACTTCACACATTTCCACAGCCTCAGGGTATATGAATACCATGATAGCGACAAACTCAACATGTATCAAAATATATTAGTGACAGGATTAAAAAAACCTTTCCACAGAATTTTTCCATTTAAATATAGCTATCTTCCTGCTACTGATGCTGTTTGATGGAAATAAAATTCTAGCAAGAGGTATTTAAATAAACTAGTAGTCTTCTAAAACAGTACAGCAAAGCTGGCAGTAAAGCCCAGTGTTAGAATGCTTGCCCACCACACATGAGGCCAAGGGATTAAAAACAGCAGCAGGAGTAGTAGAAGTAATAATAACAATAATAATAATAATAATAATAATAATAATAATAATAATACATCTTAAAGAATAAATTTTATAAAGTAATTAAAAAAGAGTTTTTAGGGGCATTTTCCCAATTTAACACCCCAAAAAATATATGAACCATTAACAGATTTTGAAGTTTAAAAAATAATTTTTACTGTTTTTTTGTTTTGATTTATTTTTTACCAGTGACTTCCTCCAAGATCTTTTAAGATCCACTCCTACTTTTATTTCAAATGTGCTTCTAAAAGGGGGGAGGGATTACTCCTTGTTTGTTTGGTTTTGTTTTCCAGAAAGTATTGCTTTGTTAGTAAAGACTGAGAGGAGAGAATTGGGTAACAGTTGGATAATGCCTGTAGTTTGTTGTAGCCATTGACTTTGTAATCTTTTGTGAAGACAGTGGTTGAGGGCAAATAACAGTATGTCGACGTCTGCATCTTATCAGAATTTGTTAGGTTCCTCAGGACCAAATTCTGGCACCTGCCACCTTGAGAGTCCATCAGAGTCAAGTGGTAGTGATCCAAAAAAGCAATTTTAAGTGGGGCCACATGGGAAGATTGTAGGCTCTGTACTAGGGAACTGACAAGAATTTCAAGACGAAGAAAAGCCCAGGACTAGAAATCTAGTCAAGCAGCTTTAACCAAGCTGCTGTGTTCTCATTATTATTTGGCTTGTTTCCCCTTGGAAGGTCTGCTGGTAAGGAGAAAATGGTTACTGCTTGAGAAGCCACCTCATTTTACATTGGTTCCTGTCCACATTGCATGTAAGGTTGGGGATGACCCTAAATTTCTCTTCGGGGTAATGGTTCCCATGTGGGGGTCAGTGTTTGTTCCCATCCCTGAGCACTGAGCAAACTGGCCTGTGAGATTTACTGTTTGGAGATCTTGAAACTATCAGTATTTTTATCCTTGAAAAGGGATGAGAGATTAGATACCTGTAAATCTAATCAACATCCTTGCCAGTTTTTAGATAGCGATCTCTTAAGAGCTTAACACTTCTATGTTTTAGAGTATTCCTTTACACTATGTGAAAATATATCACTGTGATAGGTTTAATAAAATGTTAAATGGCCAATAGCTAGGCAAGATTTTCAGGGCAGAGAGAGGACACTAGGAAAAAGAAGGGCAGAGTCACCAGCCAGACTCAGAGGAAGGAAGAAGCATGACATGTAGGAGATCAGATAGCCTGCCATGAGCCAGGTGGCAGCATGTAAATGAGTAGAAATGGGTGACTTTAATTATAAGAGCTAGTTAGAAACAAGCCTAAGCTATAGGCCGAGCTTTCATAATTAATTAGAAATCTCCATATTGTTTATTTGGGAGCTGGCTGGTGGAACAGAGAAAGACTTGCTATAGTTCTATACAGTACTTCAGAAGGAATATGATCCAGGCATAAGAGACAACTTCAGGCCCAAACAGTACTTGTAACACATGCAGCCTTGATGTATTTTAGATGCACTGTGCATGTTCCGACATTTGTTAGATTCTGTCCATCTCCTTTAGTCTGACCTGCTACGATAAATCTTTCTGCCAAAAGCCACCTGAGCCCCACCGCCACATGTGAGCTTTACACCAGACGCCCGCCCGAGTTAGGACCCAAATGAATACACAGAAACTTGTATTAGGTACAATCGTGCTTGGACAATGAGTAGGACCTCTCATATGCTAGCTCAGTCTTAATTATCATAAATCTATATATTTTATAAGACTTATCTTATTGGATGCCTTATTGACATCCCTCCTTGCCGGTGGATCACATTGTGCCGCTGGAGCAGGAGCAGAGGGGAAAAGAGGGACACTTCCTGTTTCTCCTTCTTTGTTTGTTTTTGTTTTGTTTTGTTTTTTGTTTGTTTGTTTGTTTTTTCGAGACAGGGTTTCTCTGTGGCTTTGGAGGCTGTCCTGGAACTAGCTCTTGTAGACCAGGCTGGTCTCGAACTCACAGAGATCCGCCTGCCTCTGCCTCCCGAGTGCTGGGATTAAAGGTGTGCGCCACCAACGCCCGGCTCTGTTTCTCCTTCTTTAAATGTGAGTCTCCTTGCTATGTCACTTCCTGCCTGGATCATCACTTCTCTACTACATTTTCCAGAATCCTCTTTGACTCCTAGTCCTGTCTAACTTGCTGTCTCATTGGCCAAACAGTATTTTATTCAACAAGCAATAAGATAAACATACACAGAGCATTCCCCATCACTGACCTATATCTGATTTCTTGCATCACTGGTTTTGATTTGTGGTTGCAATTCAAACTTTTATAGTTTAATGGACAAATCATTTGTTTCTCATAGCTCTAGTCTCTAGGGAACACAACTTAAAAACACAAGTTTTGGCCTTGCAATAGTGGTGAATGCCTTTAATACTGGCACTGTGAAGGCAGAGGCAGGACTATCTCTGA